CCACACCTCAGTGAGCCTCTATCTGAGTCCACTTTTTAGCTGGATTTCGAGGGCCTGGGAGGGGAGTGTCTTAACACTGGCATTATAGTTTTGTCACTAGAGGAAATAATGCTCTAATCTCGATGCTTTCTTGCATAGATACTTTTGGCTACTCCAGTGATACCCTTACTAGCCTGAGCTAAGAAAGGCGACGAAGCAGCTCATGCCAGCAGCCCCCCCTCAAGCTTTCCCAGGTGTATGTGTTGAGGGAGGGAAAAAGGGAGTGTAGGTTTCCCAGATATCAAGCACCCTTTCCCTACACATGTACATAAACAGAATTTTACACTGAATGGAGAAAATACTAGCAAGATTTTTTTTTTCCACCAATGTCTCCTGTTGAGAAGGGTTTCTTTTCTCTTCTTTTCTTTTAAGCATGGCTATGTAAATCAATACCGAGTTATTTCTTTGAATTCAAAGGCTATTTATCCAGGTCTAATTTCTTTAGAATTAACGTGATAATTGAGCCCAACTTAGCAACCAAATCCAGCCAGGCCCTGCCCGGCTTGAACGTGCTTCCACAGCCCAGGGAGGCTGCAAACCCTCACCCAGCACCCAACCGATTCCTTGACCCACGTGTGTGCTGCAGACACCCAGCCAGAGCTAGAACAGCAGGGGCTTTTCCCACCCAGAGAACCCATTGCTCCACAGGGCGCACTGACAGGAAGTCTAGTGGTGGCAATCCATGAGGATTTCTCTCTAAATAACATTGACAGCCGGAATACAAGACTCAACACCTTAAAAAGCAAAAAGCACTTTGGGCTTCAAATCCTGCTTCTTAAAACTTCCTCCTGAATATGACTCTCACCTATTGTAAGCCCTAACCGAGCCTTAGACCTCTGAGTCCTCCCAATAGCTTCTATTTTGAATAATAAAGACTTAGACGCCTCGCCTGCCCTTCTCCTCCCAGCCCGCAGGGTCGGCCGTGGGGTTCCCCAGCCCGAAAGACCACGCGGTAGGAGCCGCCCGGTAGCGGCCAGACCTGCAGGGGCTAGGAGCCCCGGAGTGTGGCTTTCGCCCCGAGGCCCTGAAGAATCCCAGAGTTCCTGCCTCTCGCAGAAAGGGCTGGAGCTGCGGGCTGGACTAGACCGAACCAGGGTGATTCCAACCGCTTTGCCTGGGCTCATCACCGCCCCATGACACTGGGCGAAGGACTGCGAAGCTGAGAGGCCGGGATCCATTGCAGAGAAATGACCGTGGGGAGAGGCCCCTGCCGCAGCCAGCCACTGCCGGCAGAACCCCTTCCCCCAAGCTGATGGCAGAGGCCACACGTGGCAGACACAGCCACCACCCTGGCACACGGTGTGGGGCCAGACTCGCTCTCCGGCTGGCTGTTCGCGGGACTCACCGGGAAAGTGGGATGAGCGAGCCTGCGATTTGGATTCTATCCAGCAAGCACACAGAGACCTCTATCAAGCTGCGAGGGACCCCCCGATCCCCCGATCCCAGCCCCTGACTGACTGGGTCGCTCAGCAGGTCTCAGCAGG